TGATCAGAGGGTTTAATTGGGTAACTCAAGTAATAGTGGGTTATAGGTATGACATCTAGTGTAGTACTTAGTAATAGGAAACTACTTAATTAGACGCTCAAAAGGCGTAGATATGGCTAGTATGTACTCTCGTTAATGTAACAAAGTCAGGAGTGGTCCTGTGGCTGCCCTGACATTCGCAACCGAAGTTAATAAACGTGCCAGACCCCCAAGTGGTTACCTTAACATTAAAAAAAAAAAATAATTTCAAAATTAAAATAAAAAAATTTTTAGCAAATTTGATTAAATAATTATTAAGATATTTTAACTTAAAAATTAAAAAAATTTTACAAAAAATAATTTGTCCTTTTTCTACTAACTTACCCTATATATCAAAATGTTTGTATAAAGAAGCTGAATAAGTTTGTATTAAGAAGTATAGATAGTTTCCTTAGTATAATTTAAAAAAACTTTAAGTTTGTAAATTTATTATTTTTTAAAAAATTTTTTGATGAGTTTGCAAGCTAAAGTTATAAAATTTTAGTAATAGATCTACCACAAAATCCCAACATCCAAAATCCTGACAGCACAAATCCTATTAGACCTAATTCCGACATACATAATCCCGACAGGATAAAATCCTGACATGATAAAATTCTGACAAGATAAAATCTCGACAAGATAAATTTCTGACAAGTTAAAATCTCGACAAGATAAAATCCTGACAAAACAAAAAAAAAATCCCAAGATAAAATCCCGACAAATCAAAATGCCAACTAAGACAAAATTCTACCAGTTCAAAATCCTGACACAATAAAATTCTGACAAGACAAAATCCTGACAAAATAAAATCCTAACAAGATAAAATCCCAACAAGATAAAATCCTGATAAAATAAAAAAAAATTCAAGACGAAATGACGAAACTGGCGAGAAGTGTAATCTACTTGAATTACCAAGTGTTTCCTTATATTTGCCCATTGTAACGAATTAAAATTTTATTTTTTTATATTATTGTAAATGATCCCTTTATTTTCTCAGTAAAATACCGCATGTACATAGTTTATTAACGTTAATAATTGTCGCGGCTGATGCTGGAAACGGCTGAAGCTGGAAATCAGGGACCCTGATTTAAAAATATAAACCCTGCCAAAATCCACTTATACTCTTTCATTATAAAAACTAACCCTAAATCCTAATCTAACCATGAAAAAAAAGCTAAAAAAATGTACCCCAAAAAATTTTGAAAATTTCATAATAAAATATTTAAAATTTCCAGCTTCAGCTACAGTAATACCAACTTCATTCCCACGTGATTTTTTAAAAAACACAATGACTTCATTCCCGCGACCACTTTAAATGTATCCAGAAATAACAAAATTGCCAAAAACAATCACTCAGAGTGATGCAAACCTGCAATGGTTTTAATTATTACAGTATTAATAATTAAGTATGGAATCCCAACAAGTAGAAACTTGTATTGATCCAGATTCTGTAGAGGTTAAATCAGCATCCATGAATAGGATAATAAATAAACATCCATTAATGGGATAACAATAACCATACTTGTCACCCATTATAATTTAAGTTGTCCACGCCAAATTCCTAACGCTAAACTTTGATCAAACTAATATTTCAAACTATCTTGTCTAATATATTGTTTTTTTGAAGTTTGTGTTTTGTATAGGTTTTGCAGGCAAGTATACCTGCAACGCTGATAGCTTTCATAAACTGTGACTATAATAATGTATTATAAATGACATTTATGTTTAAAAGACATGTCTTTGCAAAGCGCCGAAAAACTAGCCGAGTTTGGAAGACAGCATATTACTCGAGGGATAGGTCGAGTCACTAATTTGGTCATTCAACAAGCTAAAGGCTCTTATTTATATGACGTTCAAGGAAAAAAATTTTTAGATTTTACGACTGGCATAGGTGTAACTTCTCTAGGTGATAATTTTTTCTTTACTTGTCAAATCATTATTTTTAATTACAGTCAGACCTCTCTAAATGCATAGCCGAGGGGCAGCCAAAAAATCTTGCATTGAGAGATGTATTGCATTTAGGGTGGTAAAATCTATATTATATGAGTTGGGACAAAACAAGGCCATGCATTTAGAGAGGTCTGACTGTATGTAATTTTGGGCACTAAAGATGTGAAATTAAAAGATTGCATTATTTATTATATATTTATGCTATAAATGTAATAAATTCAAGGGCACTGCCATCCAAAGGTTGTAAAAGCTGTCCAAGAGCAGGCCGCAAAATTAAATCATGGACAGGTGAGAATATAATCTAGTATAACCTAAGGCAAACGTAATTTTTTTATAAAGCGTAATTGCAAATTTTGTCATAATTCATATATAGGTCAACATTATGTTTCATAAGCCAATGTTGGACCTTATTGGAAAATTGAAACCCGTGATGCCTTCGACTCAATATGATTCGTTTTTCTTCTCGAATTCTGGTTCTGAGGCTGTTGAAGGCGCAATAAAGCTAGCTAGGCACGCAACGAAAAAGCAAAATTTAATCGTATTTCAAGGTAAATGTATACATTGCTTTATATTTTTTTGATAAGTGTCATGTAATTTGGCATTGATAAAATTATCGACATTCAAGGCGGATTTCATGGAAGATCTATTGGAGCGATGTCGCTTACTACTTCCAAAGTTATCTACAAAGCTGGTTTTGGACCATTGATGGTAAATTTAAAAAATATATACTTGTAAACACGTTCAATTCATTTCAATAATGTAAATTTATTAACTTAGCCTGGAGTTTATGTTACACCTTATCCATATTGCTTCACTTGCCCGGTACATCGTGCCGTTCCACAAAAATATAACGTAACTAACTGTTGTGATAACCCGATTGAGCAGATTGAATTGCTTTTAAAACAGCAAACTGCTCCTGATGAAACGGCGGCAATGATTGTCGAACCAATATTAGGAGAAGGAGGATACGTAGAACCACCAAAAAGTTTTTTCCCGAAATTGAGGGAAATTTGCACTAAGAATAATATTTTATTAATCTTTGATGAAGTTCAGACTGGTTTTGGGAGAACTGGCAAAATGTTTGCAGCTGAACATTTCGGTATTTTGCCGGATATTATTGTTATGGCTAAGGGAATTGCTTCTGGATTTCCTCTTAGTGGCATTGTTGCGAATAAGAAATTAATGGATATACAACCACCAGGAAGCATGGTATACATTTGGATTTTTTTTTATACTTATACGATAAATTTGTAGATATTTGTAGGTTATAACCATACGTCTGCTCTATCAACTCAGGGAGGAACGTATACTGGCAACGCTGTATCATGTGCGGCAGCAATAGCTACGCTAGAAGTATTTGAAGAAGAAAAAATATTGGAAAATGTCAATAATAGGTATTTACACAATACTTTTTTTCTTTTTCTATACATCTACAGTTTCATGATAATCTTTTTATTTTCAACAGGTCATCTCAGCTGTTTTCACTACTAAATTCTCGAATAAAATCCTTATTACCTCCACATATTGGACTAGACATTCGTGGTTTAGGTCTGATGGTTGGGTTAGAGTTTACAGGTGTACCACATGGATTTGCTACGGCAGTAACCCGAGAGGCATTTGAAAAGCATGATATGATTATATTAACTACGGGAGTTTATGAGACTTTGAGATTAATTCCACCATTAACAGTTACAGCAGATGAAATTAATGATGGGATTGAGAGATTAAGTAATGCAATCGAAATTGTATTGAAAAAACTTGCAAAGGACGGAAATATCTAAACTGATGTAATAAATTTATGATATTGTTATCTCATTTAATAAAATTAAAAATTAACGCTTATGCATAGAGATTGTGTTACGACAGTTTCATCTCTGCATATAATTTTCAACTCTCAAGATACTGGATGAACTCTCAAATTGATTTAGTAAATCAAAGTGATCGCAGGAGAAAGCAGAGAGCTAAAAACAAAGTATAATACCAGCCGCCTTGACTTGCTTACTCTAGTGTAATTGGTCAAATGAATGTAAAGCAATCAATGATATTTAACATTAAATCATCTATAGACACCAAAATTTCATGCTCACATGATGTACGCAAAAATATCGTGCCGGTGTGGCACGACTAAAAAATCTTGCATGCCATTTGCCGAAGCTCGATCGCCACCAAAATTTCACCGGCACGTGATTTTAGTGTGGCGCAAACCAATTATATTTCAAGATCAGGTGTAACGTAACACAATCAGAACAAACGTTCGTTTTATCAAAAATCGCTTATTTCTCGAAAAACTGCATATGAAACCACCTTTTGTGCTTTAATAAAAAGTTTTTCTTGTGTGATTTTACTATATATCAATTTAAATTTAACTCTAATATAAGCTCTAACCCTAATATAAACAAACTTTAAATTTTTTGGATGTTCTTTAGAATAGGTGGACAAACTTCGCAAACTCCGCAACTTCGATATTAAAAAATTAATAATTACTAATCATTAGCGAAGCTTATTTCTTATATTGCCCACCTATTTTATAGAATATCCATTTTTTTCATTGTGGCACACATGATTACATGCTGGTGAAATTTTGGTGATAATTTAGAGAAAGATTTAAACACTTTTGCAGTAACATAATGTAGCATATTGTGGCTAGGGTTCATGGTATAAGAGTCTTTGGCATGTTATCATAGCATGCTTATGTCATGTCAAAGAACCAAAAGGCATACCATTAGAATTAATAGATGATTTGCCAGTTATCTGAAGAGCTATATAACACAGATTATACAAGATTTATATATAAATTATATATAAATTCTTCAATTAGTAAATGTGAAGATATTATATCTAAAACTTGTAAAGCTTATCAAAACACATCTAATAGTAGTGAAAATGTTAAAATCAGTCTGGTAGTTCTTAAGAAATCTTTAAAAAATGTTTTACCAATATATAAAATATTTTTTAAAAAAATTAATTTTTTATAAAGAAATTTTATACTGTATGTTAGCAAAACATTTTTTGAAAATTTCTTAAGAACCACCAGGTTGATTTTAATATTTTTATCACTATTAAATGCATCTTAATAAGTGTTGCGGCTGAAGCTGGAAACGGCTGAAGCTGGAAATTTTAAATATTTTATTATGAAATTTTCAAAATTT